AAATAAATAAATAAATAAATAAATAAATAAATAAATAAATAAATAAATAAATAAATATTTGCCCTGGCTACTATGGTACAGAAAAAACAAAATATTTTTAAAATATTTCTATTACTATTTTTCTGAGCCTTGGGGTGGGGTATGTCTAAATAGGCAGAATTAGAGCTGGCTGGATCACATTAAATAGGGTTGTCTAAGGTCAGATAGAGTTCTGATCTGCCATCCTCACATCCAAATGGCATATAGACCTTAAGAAACCCCATTTGATCCAGTTCAACTTGCCATAGCATGTAGTGGCTTAAGAAGAGAGCCACTTCAGGATACTGGAAAATTAAGCTTCCTCCTGTAAGTGGGAGAAGACAAGGGGCTTTTTTTTTACTTGTCTTCATCATCCAGTCAAGGACCTGCCCACAGCTGAATCCACCACTGAATTTTCAATTAAAAACAAAATTTTAATAAACTATATGGAGTATCTGGACTGCCCTAATGCAGGCTAAAAAAATAGTGTTACTTCCTCTGCCCACTGGAAAATTAAGCTTCCTCCTGTAAGTGGGAGAAGACAAGGGGCTTTTTTTTTACTTGTCTTCATCATCCAGTCAAGGACCTGCCCACAGCTGAATCCACCACTGAATTTTCAATTAAAAACAAAATTTTAATAAACTATATGGAGTATCTGGACTGCCCTAATGCAGGCTAAAAAAATAGTGTTACTTCCTCTGCCCCTCCATGGAAGAAGTGTTTAATTTGCCAACGTCCTGAAGTGGCTCTCTTTTTCAGCCACTTCACAATATGAGAAACTGACTGCAGATTGAGCCTTGCTAGCCAAAAGCTCACTTTGGTTTGCTTCCAGTGATTACCCGCAAAGGAAATGAACCAAAATGTAAGAGTAATTCTACTTACAACAAAAAAGTAGAAGCAGTGGGAGGGGACCACAGCACAAACACTCTGGCCATGCCCATCCTTTGCTTAGTACAATCAAGTATTAAAAGTCCTGACTCTTGCTGAGTAGGTCATTTTGAACAAAATAAAACTTCATTATGCAAATACTTTAAAAGTTTCTTTTTTAAAAAAAAAATTAAAAGGTAGAAAAAAGAACCCAGAAAGGTTCAGGCAGGGATGTTCTTGGGAAGGCCTGGGGTTCGCTCCAGCAATTAGGTTGTGTAATTGCCAGAAAAAGGAGTGACCCAACTCGTGCCTGCAGCAGAGCAAACAGCAGGCTAAGCACCATTCTGATTTCTGCCCATTTGATTTTCATCTATTAGTTACATTGTTCTTATATTTTAGCCAGCACAATGAAGTTAATGCCACTGTTTATCCTGTATGTTTCTCCAGGAAAAAAAGAACAGTGCATCAGAGTTCACCACTGAAAACATGCTGACCTCTGTAGCTGATTTGTTTTCAGCTGGAACAGAAACAACCAGCACTACCATCAGATACGGGCTCTTGATTCTCCAGAAATACCCGGAGGTAGAAGGTAAACAGAGACTTTAGCTACGGTACCTGCCGGCATGTCAACTACATTCCCTTCCCTCCGTGGTCTCCCCTTTCAGGTTCTCCATGTCTCATCACAGCCCCATGGAATTCCTGCCTTGCTGCCTGGGTGACTCCCAGAAATGGCAGGATTTGGGGGTGATCATGGAAGTTAGCTTGGGTGCCAGAGGGTAAAGAAGGACAGTGAAACACAAGCCAAACCAGGAAGGGTCCACCAGAACCACCATCAGAAAATGAGGTGGGAACCGAGATGCTGTTGTCTTTCAGCCAAAAGGCTTTCTTCACGGGAGCTAACCGCCCAGAAATACTCTTCCAGAATATTGAAAATTGCTCTGCTTCTAGGATTCAAAAGCAGAAAGCATGTATCTGTTTTCCCCTTGAATAAAAGTAGGCACCCAACTCCTCTGAAGAACACCTGTCATCTGAAATATGTTGTTGGGCCATGAAGAAATAATGGCCTGCATCTCGGAGTGCAGCCTCTTTGCAGGGGGTGATCAGGGAATAAAGCTAGACAATGGGGACTTATCAGAAAAAGAATAAAGTCACATAGAGGAGGCCAAGCCACCCAATCCATCATCCAGCCTGTAGGGCAATCGGCCACCAGGTCAGCCCTCCTGGCCAGATTTCAGGGCTTCTGGGAAATGTCAGGTAATTGGTGCTGACCCTTTCCCATCCCTTTCCAGAGAAAGTGCATGAAGAGATTGACCGCGTGGTCGGCCGAGCCAGGGCGCCGTGCATAGCTGACCGTGGTCAGCTCCTTTCCCCTCCCTCTCTCCACCTAACAGCTGATCGGTGCTGGTCTGAAAGGCTTCCCAGGCAGCTTTTAAAGCAAAATAAGCAGCTTTTAAACTAAATTTTACATTATAAAATGGCAATATGAGGCAGTCCCAGGTCTCTCTGATGGAGGTCCCGCAGGGCACCCCAAAACACTGAGGAGCTCTCTTGGCCTCTGGCGGTACTGGGGCTGTGCAGCCCTGTCCTGAGCAGGAGATGCAGCCAGGTGGGGGGTCACCATGCCTTGAGGGGCAGGAGGGGCAGGAGCCACTCCAACTTATACTGGCAGGGAAAATACCATGATCGTGAAAGTGGTTTTCCTAGGGTGAGGCTCATCCATAGCACTTCGGGTGTACTGATACCTGTGATTTCCTCAAATGTGTGAAAATCAGCTGCATCATTTGTGGTAGTGGGGGACTGCGTTTGTGGTTTCTCCTGGTCTTTCTAGAATCACTCTTTCGCCTTTGGTCCTTGGCTGTTTTTACTGCCCTCTGCCTCCCAGCACGGTGGTGGGAGGCTTCAGGGTGGTGGTGGCTGAACCCTTTTTTACAGTATTTGCTCCGTAAGATGCACATACTTTCTCCCCACTTTTTGGGGGGGAAACACTGCATCTTATGGAGCGAAAAATACGGTATTTGAGAAGTTTATATGGGGTGGCTGGTAGGGCAACGATGCTGGATGGAATAAAATGTTGTTGGGGGGCTGCATTTTGCATTTAACCCATCTCTGAAAGACAGTTGAGATCAATCAGCAATGAAGCAGACCTGAGACTCTCCATCTGTTTTGCTCTCCCTCCCTCCCTCATTCCCTCCCTCATTCCCTAACTTTCTGCTCCCATCTGCCAATCTGTCATTAGTCACCTTTGTTTCAGTCCTGATACATCACCCGTACACAGCAGACGCTTACCCCACCAGCTTCATTTGCCGTTCCAGGAGCCGTGGCCTCCCTTCTCCTTGCAATACATCATTGAACAATACATCGATCAGTTCACACAAATTGGTCACAATAACAACCGTGGGAGACCTTTGGAGGACCCTAAGTACATACACTTGTCCAAATGAACGGCAAACATAAAGGCTTGAATGCAACAGCGTGTCCCAGGGAGAGTAGATTACCTGCACCAGAGGGGAAATCAAGGTCCCAACCAAGCTCAATTTCACTGATTTTAAGAGGTCCACCTTTGTTTAAAACATTGGATTTGGACAGAGAAGCCAAGAGGAATGAGAAGGAAAGGCAAAGGGGCTAAGAAGTTGGCTTGGAAATCTGGCTCCTGGTTGGGTGAATGGGGGAGAATCACAAGCTACATCAAAAGCATCTCAGCTCAAACACAGACAGCAAACGGCATAACTCACTTCTTCTTCCTCTCCTCAGGGCACCACCATCATCCCTGTCCTGACCTCTGCGCTGTACGACAGTAAAGAATTTCCAAACCCCACAGAATTTGACCCACAGCATTTCTTGAACAAAGACGGGACCTTCAGGAAGAGTGACTACTTCATGCCCTTCTCCGCAGGTAAAATGGCCCATCTCCCCCTGCCCCAATTGTCCAGCTCCTTGGAGTCATCCTCATCCCCCACCTTTGGGACAAGGAGGCGATGCCAATGTCAATGTCAAATCACTTCTGATTTATCCTGGAAAAACTTGAACCCTCCATGAAGGTCTCAACAGGAGCTGAAGACAAAAGCTACACATACACAAAGGAAAACTGCACAAAGAGCCAGTTGCACAAAATGATAACAGTGTCTGCTTTCTTTCATTGACTTTGAAGGATGTCAAGCATTTTGAACATCAGTCCTCTGGGGTTGCTCTGTGTGTGTGTGTGTGTGTGTGTGTCTGTGTGTCTGTGTGTCTGTGTCTGTGTGTGTCTCTGTGTGTGTGTCTCTGTGTGTCTGTGTGTCTGTGTGTGTGTGTGTGTGTGTGTGCAAGGTTGATGTTGCTCAACACCCCTCAGTGTACACTAAATACACTGTAGACTCAATAGTACAGCAGTTATAAAATGTTCAATTTTTTAAAAAAACCAGAAACGTATTTTGGAAATGAAGGCAGGCAAGAGGTCACTTAAGGTTCTTCAGTAATGAAACAATGCAGCACTATGCCACTTAGCAAAAATTAATTATAGAAATGGAGAAAACACTGGGCTGAAACATGGCACCCTGTAACTGCCCCCATTTGTGCATAAAAACAGCATTAATGGCTACTGGCTGACAGCTATTGCAACAGAGAAGGCAGGAAGTGGGGAGGGAGGAAGGGAGGGCCACATGGCGACCAAAGGAACAAAACAGAGCGATCTAACACCAGCATGTGGTTGACTAGATGACAACCAAAGGGTCTCTAGGAATTATGCCCATGTATACAGAAGAAGTAAATGAATCAAGTCCCACTGGACCAAACCATTCCAAAGGGACTCAGGCTGGATCCTTCCCTGTCCTTAATATAGCCATACCTTCATCTTCAGGTTCGATTCCTCAATGGACCAGAATGAAGAAATGAGCCAATAGCCTTTGCTATACCTCTACTCTTCCGCCATGCCCTGAAGAGTCCCTTCCCCTTCCACCAAAATAAGTACCATGCCCTGCAGAGTCCCTTCCCATTCCACCAAAATAAGTGGAAAGGAGGCTGCAACTAATGTTCCCAGGAGGTGTTCCTGGAGGGCCACTTTCCCTGCATTTGAGCCCCTTCAACTTGTCATGGGTTTTCCCCCAGCCATTGAAGAAACAGCAGTAACCTTCCTCGTGCTTCCCTTCCTGCCTTGGTTTCTCTTGCAGGTAAACGGATCTGTGCAGGGGAGGGCCTCGCCCGCATGGAGCTGTTCCTCTTCTTGACCACCATCCTGCAGCACTTCAAACTGAATCCCCTAAAGGATCCCAAGGACATTGACCTCTCTCCCCTCATGAGCAGCACCGGCAACTTCCCTCGGCCTTATCAGCTGTCCATTCTCCCCCGCTGAGGAGAAGGAGGCCTCTGGCCCACCGGGAACCATCTGGCAGCCCTTTACTTAGACAATCTGTCAAGGGGGCACTCATCATCAAAACATGCAGCAATTGTTTCCCCCAAAAACACATTTTGATTCCCCCCCTCCTTTCTTGCTCAGCACAAACCTCATTCCCCCTTAAGAAGTTTCCAAACCACTGCTTCCCAAAACAGCAGGATATTTTGGGAGGGGGGCTGTATTGCGGAAATGGGACCCAGAAAATAAAATGAACCCATGAAAAAGGGGGTATCTGGAATCTGTTTGGAAGGCAGGCCACAATTTTAACTGAAATCTGAAAAAATGGCAAATAAAACTTACATATATATTAACATTATTTACTCGTTAAGTTGTGTCCAACTCTCCATGACCCCATGGACCAGAGCACGCCAGGCCCTCTTGTCTTCCACGGCCTCCCGGAGTTGGGTCAAATCCATGCTGGTCACTTTGGTGGACCCTGTCCAACCATCTCGTCCTCTGTCGTCCCCTTCTCTCCTCTTGCCTTCACACTTTCCCAACATCAGGGTCTTTTCCAAGGAGTCTTCTCATGAGATGGCCAAAGGACTGGAGCCTCAGCTTCAGGATCTGTCCTTCCAGTGAGCACTCAGGGTTGATTTCCTTCAAAACGGATAGGTTTGTTTTCCTTGCCATCCAGGGAGGTCTCAAGAGTCTCCTCCAGCACCACAATTCAAAAGCATCAATTCTTTGGTGGTCAGCCTTCTATATGGTCCAGCTCTCACTTCCATATATCGCTACTGGAAAAACCATAGCTTTGACTATGTGGACCTTTGTTGGCAAGGTGATGTCTCTGCTTTTTAAGATGCTGTCTAGGTTTGTCATCACTTTCCTCCCAAAAAGCAGGCATCTTTTGATATCAGGGCTGCTGTCATCATCTACAGTGATCATGGATCAGATTTTACTTTTACAGAAATTAAAATCTGTCACTGCCTCCATATCTTCCCCTTCTATTTGCCAGGAGGTGATGGGGCCAGTGGCCATGATCTTAGTTTTTTTTTTTTTATGTTGAACTTCAGACCATTTTGGCGCTCTCTTCTTTCACCCTCATTAAGAGGTTCTTTAATTCCTTATAACTGGACATCTCCTTCTTGCCGAAGGTGGTATTGGACCTTCACGTCAACCAACCCATTGTGCTTCCAACACTGTTTCCTTCTCTGTCCACACCATTAGAGCATAAACTCCATACCTTCGATGTCAGAAGAGCTCTTGCCTTCTACCTTCATCGTACCAAACACATTAGGTGCTCCCTGCATCTCCTCCTGTGTTACCATGGACCACATAAAGGTGCTCCTGCTTCCCCACAACCAATATCCAGATGGATTATTCCACTCATGCAGCTCCCTTACCAATAAACCTGTACTGGACGGATTGAAGGCCCATTCTACCAGACCGGTCTCCACTTCAACAGCTCTATTCAAGGGTGTTAAAATACAGAACGTATGCAAGGCGGCTACCTGGGTCTGACATTCGCCAGACACTACCGCCTGGATGTCAGAGCTAAAAATGATAAGTTTTGTTGTATAATCTTTTTCCACGTTCCCAATAAAGCTCTTCTTATCATATGTAAATTAAAATGCTTTTGCTCTTTATCATTTTTATACCATAAATAAGCGTGCCAGCCCAGCTGTAAATCATGTCCTTCCAAGTTGAGTAATCTATCATTTTCCAAAGTTATCCATTCTTTTATCCAATCTAAAATACAGGATCGATAATACAGAACCCAGTCTGGAAGACCAAAACCAGATCTCTGTTGGGCATCTTGCATTGCTTTAATTTTAATTTTTGGTTTTTTACCTTGCCATACAAATCTCATGATTATCTTATTAAGTTCTTGGGAAAAGTTCTTGTTTTAATATGATAGGGATTGTCTGAAATAAGAATAAAAATTTTGGCAAGACACTCATTTTAATTGTCGCAATCCTTCCCAGCAGCGATAATTGTAGTTTATCCCATTTCTCCAAATTGTTCTGTATCACCTTAATCAATTTCATATAATTATCTTTAAATAGTGTACTCGTCTTCTTTGTAATTTGGATCCCTAAATATCTAATTCTTTTTTCCTCTTGGAAGTTCGTCTTCTCCACTAACTTCTGCCGCTCTTGTTCTCTTATGTTTTTAATAAGTATTTTTGTTTTCTTTTGGTTTATTCTCATTCCTGCCATATCACCAAAGTTTTTCAACATCTCCATCAGGTCTTCTATTGAATGCAATGGATCTTCCAGTATAATGACTAAGTCGTTTGCAAAAGCCTGAAGTTTATAAGTTTGGCCTTTTACTTTCAATCCTTTCAGTTCCTTTTTATCTCTGATTTGTTTGGTTAAAATTTCTAGAATCAAAATAAATAGTAGTGGGGAGAGTGGACACCCCTGTCTGGTACCTTTCTGTATTTGTATTTCTTTCGACAGCTCACTGTTAATTCTTACTTTTGCCTTTTGCTGAGTATAAATTGCTTTAATTAGCTTCAAAAATCTTTCTCCAACTTGCAGTGTTTCCAGCAAATACAACATAAAATTCCAATCGAGATTATCGAAGGCTTTCTCTGCATCCAAGAATATCATGGTCATCTGTTTCTCCAGGTGTGCTTCATAATATTCCAGGGAGTTTAGGACTATCCTTATATTATTTTTCATCTGCCTTTTTGGAAGAAACCCTGACTGATCTTGATGTATTAACTGAATTAAAATTCTTTTCATTTTAGTTGCCAGAATGGTTGCATATATTTTATAATCCACATTCAATAATGAAATCGGTCTATAATTTTGAATTTCTTTGCCCTCCCTATTTTCTTTGTGGATAAGGGAGATTGTTGCTTCAGTCCAAGTTGTTGGTATTTCCCCCCTCTTCTTCGATGCATTCTAAAAGCTTCTTAAATGGCTTAAG